TAAGTTCTTGGAAACAGGGGATGTAGCAAATAAAGCTAAAACTGGTCGACGTAAATCAGTTGTAACAGAAGACATGAGTAGTATAAAACACGGGGGTAATCCCGTGACGTCATAATTAGGTAATTGGTAAGTATTTTGTGATTGTGGAGCAGCGTGAATTACGCAGCGACTCTGGCGATGTATGTTGTGGATTGGTTGGTATTGTTATTAGGTCAAGGTTGTTTGAATGTGTTTTTTTTAATGTTCAGCTTTAATGTTTCAAATATACCATGTACTGGATTGTAAAAATATGTATTGTTCCATTTAACTATCCATCAACTAGCTGTCTCATATAATCTTCGAACTCTGGGCGGAGAAAGTACGAGGTACTAGATACTTGTGAGTTCTGTATCGGTGACATAGTTACGTCTACTGCGTTTTGTTCTTGAGTGTTTTGTTCTTGAGTGTTTTGTTCTTGAATATTATTATTTGAGATATTCGATGTTGAAGATATTTTGGGGTCTTGAATAGGAGCTGAATTTCTTGCAGACATGTTTTCCTGACGGTAGCTAAGAGTCAAATGATCTGTAGTTTACTCTGTTAACACTTATATAGTGTTTACAGAAATTCTAAATGTTTGCACAGAGACGTTTCAATCTTCCGAGAGATGATTCTCACGGAACGACAACAGATGTGAGTGTTCGCATGTGTGCGCCTATAAATAACTAGGCCTACTCGTTCTCGCGGGGGACCGACATGTGATTAACTGTTATTGCTTTACTTTTTCTAGCGTCACTGATTACGCTTAGCGGTGTTACGGCTTTTTGTTAATGGATTATTTTATCTATGTAGGAGGTAAGTTAACCTATTATTGTTTCTGCATTGTGTTCAAGATTGTTGTTTGACGCGCAAACTAGACACGCTTCATTCGTATTGCGTACTGCTTTGTGTCAAGCAATTTTATCCTGTCACATTTTGTAATTTCCAGAGTTTTAATTATATTTCCCTGTTGTATTTTAAGTTTAAGTGTTTCCAGTTTGTGATACACGTCGCCCCATTGTGATTTGTGGAATATTCCCTAAATATACAGGTAATTAATTTTTCTTGTCATATACATATAGTATCCTAATATATATTAGCTTTTACTATTTATTTATAAGAAGTTCACTCCTTAATCATTACTTAAATTAGCTCAACTATTTGTATAAAAGATCCTACCACTATTTTGTCTAATCATTTAAATACAACCTTTCTCATAATATAAAAACGAAACTAACATATCTTTCAAATATAATCCTAATTATATGAAAACTTTACAAGACTATAAACAAATATTTCGGTAAATCTGCACTTACAAAACACTTATCTTAACTCAAAAATTCTTTTGCTGTATGAATACAACAATATACGTTACAACCATTTTTACCGCCTATTTTATAATAATTTTCTACAGAATAAAACGGCTTTCGATTAGAAATAGTTTAGGTATTGGCAGTGAGTTTTTAGTCTTTTCACGTGATATAAAAATTTGAGGCCAATAAAATAGATGAAGTTCAGGACCATCTCACTAGAGTTTACTAGTGTATTTTGTTGACTATTAATTAAAACTAATGCAGTACATAGCAAACAGCTGATTGATTTATCACTTAACAGATTGCACTACGTTTCTTTTTTGCTTCAAATTTTTACATTACTTGGGAAGTCTATTCTGTGTATAGTCAATGGTTTTATGTTTTTAAGAAAATTGGTATTCCAATATCGCTAAATCACTATACGTATTTAATGTCTCACATTTTGTAACAGATGTTATGTAAACCGCAATTAATCTTTCTTGTGATATATACAAACAAAAAACTATATCATTTACCTCAAATCATTATATTATAATAAAAAATAAATGATTTAGGATAAAAAAATATCTTATAATATACATTGTCCTTGCCAAAATAAATGTATGTTTATTCAAGTTCACCTCATATTTTGTTGTAGTCCTAATGATAATATTAATTACCTTTTGTTGTTTTTGTATTTGTTAAAATATGGACTGATTAAACTGAATAACTAAACATTTTTAAGATTGAAAAAATGGTTACCGATTTCCTTAACTAACAATGTATAAACGTATAACTTGTTCTTCACAAAACGAGATATCTAAATATGACTCTAATACATTAATTATTAACTTGTTTGGATTATAAAAGGTAAAATGTGATTGCCTAAAATTATACTTTGTTTTTTATTGAGGATTGCTTTATTGACATACGTAAAAATTTCTTCACTATCTAATAATCATAATAGAAAACTATATATTTTACTTAACAATTTTTATATTAAATTATTCTTTGTTCTTTTATCTCAAATTGCTTTCTCACGTACATGAATTGACTCACTTTTTGTTACGCTCTTAAATTATAATATTAATCAAGGTACTTCTCATAGTCAGTTGCTGACTTTATTAAAATATAGCTCGATTAAATTGGTTGTTTTTTATAAGATTTTCTTAACATATGACTTGTTCTTCTCAAAATAAACATATAAAATGGTTCTAATACTTAATTGCTTAATGTGTTTTTTTTCTTCTAGAGTTAACTAACGCAGCTTTACTTGAAACACGGAGTATTCCTGATTTACTACAGGTAATTATTTGAAAAATGTTAGTTTACGCATAGTTCAGATGGTTTCTATCTCTTTGTAATCTTTCCTTAAAAAATACATGTACAACTAAATATATTTTAGTTAATAGTATTTGTAAAATGCTACGATTGTTATGTGTTTATTTTACTTAGCTCGGTTAATAATTTAATTGACTTCATATCTCGTTCTTGAGACCCAACTAATATTGTTTCTTGTTTTATTGAGCATTCTTAAGCCAAAAAATATATTTTAAATTGTAATTTGCATCTCCATAAGCATTATAAAATCACGTATCTTGTTTTGGATTATTAAAACGGCTATTCTGCTATCTTTCAAGTAATATTAATAATTAATGGCTGCTCTTGCTAGTCCCCCAATACACCTCATATCCTTTGATTGGGTGGGTAGACCACGCCTCCAGCAAGCCCCGTCCCCACTACACTACCTGTCCTGTGATTGGCTGAGTAGACCACGCCTCCACTTAGTCCAACCCCCACCAGAGCGCACAAAACTAGTTGAATCTCTTTCAAACTTCACTTCATCTTGTGTACTCGCACGGTACACATCATGTTCCGTCTCCTTTCAAACCCTTGTCTATCTAGGGTTTGAATGAATCTTTGTCTATCCTTCCTTAATCATTTGCGTTTCCTGAACATGCGACAGTGGTCAAACCAGGTTGCATTTCTATCCATCCTTAACTTGCGGCAGTGGTCAAACCAGGCTGCATTTAAATCCTTCCTTAACTTGCAAATTGGAAAAACCATTTGCGTTTCCTGAACATGTGACAGTGGTCAAACCAGGTTGCATTTCTATCCATCCTTTACATACAGCAGTGGTCAAACCAAGTTGTATTTAAATCCTTCCTTAACTTGCGGCAGTGGTCAAACCAGGTTGCATTTCTATCCATCCTTAACTTGCGGCAGTGGTCAAACCAGGCTGCATTTAAATCCTTCCTTAACTTGCAAATTGGAAAAACCATTTGCGTTTCCTGAACATGTGACAGTGGTCAAACCAGGTTGCATTTCTATCCATCCTTTACATACAGCAGTGGTCAAACCAAGTTGTATTTAAATCCTTCCTTAACTTGCGGCAGTGGTCAAACCAGGTTGCATTTCTATCCATCCTTAACTTGCGGCAGTGGTCAAACCAGGCTGCATTTAAATCCTTCCTTAACTTGCAAATTGGAAAAACCATTTGCGTTTCCTGAACATGTGACAGTGGTCAAACCAGGTTGCATTTCTATCCATCCTTTACATACAGCAGTGGTCAAACCAAGTTGTATTGAAATCCTTCCTTAACTTGCGGCAGTGGTCAAACCAGGTTGCATTTCTATCCATCCTTAACTTGCGGCAGTGGTCAAACCAGGCTGCATTTAAATCCTTCCTTAACTTGCAAATTGGAAAAACCATTTGCGTTTCCTGAACATGTGACAGTGGTCAAACCAGGTTGCATTTCTATCCATCCTTTACATACAGCAGTGGTCAAACCAAGTTGTATTGAAATCCTTCCTTAACTTGCGGCAGTGGTCAAACCAGGTTGCATTTCTATCCATCCTTAACTTGCGGCAGTGGTCAAACCAGGCTGCATTTAAATCCTTCCTTAACTTGCAAATTGGAAAAACCATTTGCGTTTCCTGAACATGTGACAGTGGTCAAACCAGGTTGCATTTCTATCCATCCTTTACATACAGCAGTGGTCAAACCAAGTTGTATTTAAATCCTTCCTTAACTTGCGGCAGTGGTCAAACCAGGTTGCATTTCTATCCATCCTTAACTTGCGGCAGTGGTCAAACCAGGCTGCATTTAAATCCTTCCTTAACTTGCAAATTGGAAAAACCATTTGCGTTTCCTGAACATGTGACAGTGGTCAAACCAGGTTGCATTTCTATCCATCCTTTACATACAGCAGTGGTCAAACCAAGTTGTATTTAAATCCTTCCTTAACTTGCGGCAGTGGTCAAACCAGGCTGCATTTCTATCCTTCCTTAACATACAGCAGTGGTCAAACCAAGCTGCTCCTTTCAAGCCTTTGCCTATGTTATATGTCTAAAAGTTCTTCATGCATGTACTGTTTAGTCTTTCTTGCTAGATAATTTGCTTTAGTAGTTGTGACTTGGTGTTAGTGGTTTGAATCTTTGCATGTTTTTTTTTAAATAACTAATGACCTTGACCTACTTGTATTATTGGTTATTTGAAACTTTATCTTTAAAATAGTTTCTCTGCCCACATGCAACTCCTCCTTTTAGATGTACTTATTCCCCCACCTCTTTACCACACTCATATCTTCCCCCACTCTGTCTATCTATATCCCCCACCACTTAGGGTGGGTATAAATGAGAGAGCATATTGGTTAATAACATTATTCTGTTGCCAGCCTGCAGAAAAGCCATGGACCCCTGCTTAAGAAAGACTACCAAGCCAATGAAGCCAGTGGCAGGCATGAAGAGATCTAAACTTCAGGAGGCGTTGACTGGAGGTATTAAGAAGATGAAATCATCAACTCCTTCTGAAACCCTGGTCAACAAGACTCTGTCGCAGCCGGGATCCTCTTCATCTGCTTTGTCAGACGATGCAAAGAAAACAACTACAATATCAACTCAATCTTCCCTTGCCGCCAAGACTCTTTCGCAGCCAGGCAAGACTCTGTCGCAGCCGGGATCCTCTTCATCTGCTTTGTCTGACGATGCAAAGAAAACAACTACAATATCAACTCAATCTTCCCTTGCCGCCAAGACTCTTTCGCAGCCAGGATCTTCTTCTGCTTTTTTTGAAGATAGATTGAAGAAACCTTCTTCTGGTAACACTTCGTCGAAGAAACGGTCTGATTCATCGTCTTCCTCTTCTTCTTCTTCGTCATCATCTTCCTCGTCTTCTTCATCGTCCTCGTCCTCTTCTTCTACGTCATCGTCCAAAAATCAAACAATTAAGTCCCCTCTATCCATGCTTCTCTCTCCCATAATTCTCTCCTTGCTATCTCCTATTAAATCTCCAGAAAAGCTATCCACTCCCAAACGTAAGCCATCTCCAAAACCTCAACCACATAGCCTAACTCTTCCTAATTTAAATTCCTCCTCGAACCAAATGCCTGACATAGATTCTCCTGAAATTACCATTCCAAACCCCCCACCCAAATCCCTCCCTGCTGCACCCACCGTTGTTAGAAAACTCTTTACTAAAACTGAATCCTCAAAAGAATCCCTTCCCCCCATTCAAACCCTTCTGAAAAATTGGTAAAACTCATGGCCAAAAGACGAGCTGCATTTAAGCCCAAGCCACAATGTTCTTATATTTTCCAAAAAGGGGTGAAAAAAGGTGAGCGTTGTGAAAAGTCCTGCTTTTCTGATGCTAATGTGTGCAGCCTCCACACTAAGGGGAAAAGCAGGATGGTACCCACTCAACCTAAAATTATTAGCAGCAAACCTGTCGCTACCAATCCTCAGTCATTTGAAAGACCATCAATAATCGTCAAAAGCCAGGCTCAGGAAAAATCTTGTACATCTGATCCAACACCGAGCACCTCACGTGTTGTTGTGATAGACAAGATTTTGCCTAGCCAACCACGGACGTCAGGCTTTGCTCGACCCTGTCGTCCACCACAAATTCAAGCTAAAAAAACCAGAATTGATAGGCTACCCAAAAACCGTAAATTCGAAATTCTTCTGATGACACCAAACGGTGAAGTCATTTTAAGAGAAGGAAATGACAGGTTCCGACTTAAATTACCCAGAGGCATGACCATCCCGAATACAACCCACCGATACTACATAATTCGTGATCGGTCTTCGGGATGGGCATCTGTAACATTATAAATTGGTTTAGTTTCAAATTGATCTTAATTATCCTCTAAATTCTCCTTTAGTATGCAAAAATTGGGAACGCATTTGTTATAGCCTAACAAATGCGTTCCCAATTTTTGCATTTAAAGAGTGACCTTGAGATTTTAGAAGTAGATTATTTTAATCAGAGATTTCCATCTAATTTATTCATAAAACATTAGAAACAAATTTGTTATATCCTAACAATGTGTTCGCAAAGTTTCATGTATAATATTTTGATAAAGTTATTTTAGAAAACATATTGATTGTTCAAGTTGTCCAATATTACATCAACATTTTTCTATATTGTAAAATTAACTATTCTAAGGACATTTAAAAGATATATTATGTTTATCTCGTGTTTTGCAAAAAGATCTTCATTGCCATTGTGTATAAATTAAGTGTAACACTTTATGATATAACTCAATATATTTTCATAATCCTCAAAGGCATCTAGGCATACAAACACAAAATTTATTTGCATTAACTGTTTAAGGTTAATTCCTTTACATTTCATCTTTGTTAACAGGTTTACTTGAATAGTAGTTGTACATTTTATACTTAAGTAGTGTTGAACTTTACAAGACATAGAAAACAAACATATAAATGGTTAGCAACCATAATACTTTGTTACCATTCGTTTTTTAGTATGGAAATAAATATGATAGAAGTTTCTATGTTTGGTTTTTCTTATTAAAACCCCTACTGATCCATTTTTAATATTGCAAATTACTAAGACGTAAAGATGTATCGTTTTTATGATCAATACAGTCGCGGAAATTTTATTAGCTTAATAACTTTGTCCAACAATTAGGTCAAGGTTAAACTGAAGAGTTTTTAAAAAATAATAAAATCAGCTACATATCTTCTGATTCACTCTCTGAACTAAAGGATAAACTTCTTCGAAAATTACCACAAAACTTTTTAGTTGTTGTCAAATTTATACTTAAGTAGTGTTGAATTTTATTAGACATAGCCAATGAATATATAAATTATTAGTAGCCATAATACTTTGTCTACATTCGTTTTGTAGCAAGAATAGGAATAAATATACCAGAATTTTATATTTTTAACATTGCAAATAGTTTGTTCTGCTACGTTACCATGACTTAAAAATTGCTAAGATGTAATATGTAATGATGCTATTAGCTTGATTAACTGTGTCCAACAATTAGGTCAAGGTTAAACTGAAGAGTTTTTAAAAAATGGTAAAAAGCTACATATTTTCTGATTCACTCTCTGAACTAAAGGATAATCTTCTTCGAACATTGCCACAAAACTGTAATACTCGACAAAGTTTATTTTCTCCATTTTCAACTTCATCTGCTTGAACTGGAATCTTTGGTGTTTCACAGTAGTCCGAATGAAATTCATTGTTCGGTGTGGGTTGACCTTGTTCGTTGTTCACATCCTCGTCCAGTTGTTCTTCCTCTAGCATCTCTTGCAAGTCCTCGTCGTTTTCTGTATCACTTTCATTTTGTGCTTCATCAAAATCAGTCTCCCAGATTCGAGGCTCTACTCCAGTAAGGTTCGTGTGGTCTGTAGGAGGCATTGCGAATATGTAAGCTATAATGCTGCTTCCTGCGTTATTATAAAATCCCGCCCACGACCCCCACCACCACCATAAAATACTTATGCCATTGGTGAAAAGGGTTGGGGTATAATCCCCCCCCCCTTATTGAATAAATGGAGTGGGGGGTTATACACTGTGTTATATATATAAGTCACGCACGCAACTGATATCATTCCTATGAACACAACCATGCAGTGTGTAATGTAGCTAGTTTCCTTAGTAGTGTCTTAAACTACAAAAATGTATCAATGTGAAAATTGTCATGAGTCTTTTGAGGATGAATTTCTCCTCAATATTCATAATGAACTCTTACATATGTCTAATGAATCTTCAACACCTATGGAATATGAAGATTTGATTGAAGACCCCTTCTTACAACAGAACAGACCAACAGTTATACAGTATGCACCACCAAACCAACAATTATCAGTAGAAATATTAGCCCAAGCATTTCCTAAAGCCATAGTAAACCATTTCAAAATTTCTAATACAAATTATGATTTGTCAGATTTTATTTTAAAAGCTAAACCCCTTATCATAAAAACACTACAACAGGAACTAACCAGACTTAATTTTATCAAATTTGGCTTGCTCTTGGACACTAGATTTACAAATGTACAAAATGAGGTGTCCCCTCGGGGGTTTATAACACGAAATAAATCCATCATGGTAACCACTGATCTGGAGGCTGAAGTCGACAGTTGCTTGGAAGAAATTGTTGTTAAAATATCTGAACATGAAGGAAGAGGATCTGGGTGGTCTTTGTTAAGCGTAGACAGCTTAGATATACGTGTACATAAACATGGGTATGGTGATAGAGGTAGTAGTTTCATCCCACTGCCCAAAAAGATTGCTAATACAAGAACTTGCATAAATGTTCAAAATGGAGACAATGAGTGTTTTAAGTATGCTGTTTTAGCAAAGTTTGTTGAAGACAGGCACGCCTATAGACCAAGCCGTTATTATAGTGAAGTGGCTCATAAATATAATTTTACAGGTTTGGTTTACCCAGTGTCTTTAAAAGATATCAAGAAATTCGAAAAACAAAATCTTAATTCATCCGTTAATGTGTATGGATTGGATGAGTCTAATAATGTGTTTCCTATTCAGATTACATCTCATGAACGTAGAGACCATACAGATCTTTTACTTCTTACAAATGGTAAAATCTCACATTATGTTTACATAAAAAACTTTTACGCACTTTTATCAAGACAGTTATCCAAAAGGAAGATGAGTCTCACCATTTGCAAACGGTGTTTTTGCTACGCTGCCAAACCATTTCATTTGGGGGGTAAGGAATGGTTACTTGACCACCAACGTCTCTGCAATAGTAAGGACGAAGTAAGGGTTAAATTACCTCACCCTAATAGAGCTTTTATTAAATTCAAGAAAACGGCTCAACAATATCGAATACCAATTGTTATATATGCAGACTTTGAGTCATCGTTAGTTCCTTTAGTTTTAGATGAGTGTGATCAAAGCAAAATTAAAAAAATTCAATTTCATGAACCAAACAGCTTTTGTTTAATGCTTAAATCAACTTTGGATGAAGATCATTTACGTCAGTACGGGTTAACAACCCAACCACTTGTATATCGCGGTGAAAATGCTGCTAAGTCATTTGTAGATAACCTTTATGATATAGCTAATAAGGTGGAAAAACTGTATAGTTATGTAGTTCCAATGATTAATCTTACACATGATGAATTGACATTCCATGAAAGTGCGGATAGATGTTACCTTTGTGACTGTAGTTTTACAGAAGACAACAGGCGTGTTCGGGATCATGATCACCTGACTGGTTTTTACAAAGGCCCTGCTTGCAACAGTTGTAACATCAATTTTAAATTACCAAAGTTTATCCCAATAGTGTTCCACAATTTAAGTGGATATGACTCTCATTTCATAATTCCTGAATTAGGTAGAGACAAAGGGGCGATTGATGTTTTAGCTACAAGTACGGAGAAATTTATTAGTTTTTCGAAAAAAGTGGGTAAAATAAAATTAAGGTTTGTAGACTCTTTCAGATTCATGGCTTCTAGTTTAGAGAAATTGACAGCTAATTTGCAAAGAGAACATTTTATTGAAAGTCAAAAGATTGTCGCATCTGATCACATGGATTTGGTTCTTCGTAAAGGAGTGTACCCTTATGATTATATTGATAATCCTGAAAGATTTAACGAGACCTCACTACCACCCATTGAGGCATTTTACAGTCAGTTAAATGATTCTAATATTGACCCTGAAGACTATCAACATGCTTGTCAGGTATGGAGTGAGTTAAACATGAACACCTTAGGCGAGTATAGTGACTTTTATGTGAAGTTAGATGTAACACTTCTTTGTGATATAATGGAGGAATTCCGTAACACCTGTATAGCGGCCTACGGATTAGACCCTCTACATTCATACACCTCGCCTGGATTAGCTTGGCAAGCTATGTTAAAAGAAACAAAATGTACATTACAGCTGTTAACAGACATTGATATGGTGCTTATGATTGAATCTAGTATCCGTGGGGGACTTACCCAGAGTGTAACAAGGCATGTCAAAGCAAATAATAAACACATTCCAAACTTCAAGAAGGAGGACCCATCAGTTTATTTAGGGTATTTTGACGCCAATAACTTATATGGGTGGGCAATGTCAAACCCACTTCCATATGGTAATTTTCAATGGATTGATCCAATATTATTAGGTGATGTAACAAGTATCCCAAAAAATGGAGACACCGGATTCATAATGGAGTGTGATTTTGAATACCCATCCACACTTCATGATCATCACTATGATTTACCTCTATTAGCTAAATCTGAAATACCACCAGACGGAAAACATCCTAAGCTGATGATGACGCTTAACGACAAGGAACGCTATGTTGCCCATTTTTGGGTTGTCCAACAAGCCATCGAACTTGGTCTAAAATTAAAAAAGGTTCACCGTGTTTTACAGTTTAATCAATCATGTTGGTTAAAAACATACATTGACTCAAACACAAAAAGAAGAGCTGCAGCATCATCGGCTTTCCAAAAAGACTTTTTTAAGCTGATGAATAATGCAATATTTGGAAA